GGGGTGGGGGTTCTCAGTTAGGCGTCGGACTGCTCACTGCCAGGTCAGCCATTCAAACCCCCTAGCCTCCCCTCAGGAGAAAGAAAAGTGGGGTCTGCACCCCTGAAGACTCACAGCCTCTGAGACCCCGAGTGGGGGAGCAGTGAGTCGGAACGAGACCTGGGCTGTTGGACTCGGGGGGGAAACGTCTGCCATCATCGGCTTTCTCCCTTCCACTCCCAATGGGGATTCGGGCTCGGTATCATTTGAGAGCCAGCCACGTGGTACATTATTTGCAGTGGGGCACGCTCCTAGACCCTGGGCTTTTGGGGACAAGGGTTCCTCATGAGTTGGCATTAAAACCCCCACTAGGAGACAGACGAGGCTTGCTAGTCCCAGAAAGAATCACAGTCTCGGGAACCCACAGGGTTCTGCCCTGCCCTAGAGCGTTGCCATTGAGGCTCCTCCCACCCTGCCCCCTCCCCTCTCGGGGACTCTGCCCAGTCTTTCTGCAGCGGGGCGCGCAAGACATGGCTTGCCCACCTTGAGTCCGAGAGGGGGTGAATGTCTGTGTGCTCCCACTTCCTGGGGTTCTCTCCAGACGGCAGAGAGCTCACGTGGCCTATGGAAATGGGACACTGCCTGCTCCCTGGGCAGAGCTGCCTCATGCTTTGGCATGAGTTGGGAAAGGATGCCCCCTGTTGGTGGAAAACATTAGGAAAAGGCGCCCCACCACCACCACCAGGAAGCTGCCCACCGGCCAGGAGCGTGGCCCCCAAAGCAAAGGCCTGTGGCCCCCTTTCTCACCCAGAAGATCACGGAGCAGAAGCCCAAGTGAAACACACTCAGTTCTTAAAACACAAAGTCCTGTCTAACAAAGGAAGACTAGCTTCCCCGGCCCGGGTTGGGTGGTCAGGGGTCCCCCGTGCAGGCGGCGGGTGCTTGCTCACGGGCTGGGGGTTCTCTCTTTGTCTCCCCAGGTTTACAAGTCGTCCTGAAGTCCATCATGAAGGCCATGATCCCCTTGCTGCAGATCGGCCTCCTCCTATTTTTTGCAATCCTCATTTTTGCAATCATAGGGTTAGAATTTTATATGGGGAAATTTCATACCACCTGCTTCGAAGAAGGGACAGGTAGGTCCAAGCACCTAGGTATGTTGACAGGTTGGTTAGTTTCCAACTTGCCACCCCCACCCCACCCCCGTTCTCCTCCTTTGGGGATGAAACTTCGGGAAGGGACCCTCTGGTTGGTGGGGGTGGTGGTTATTTCTTCATCCCGGCACCTGGGAAAGACAGGGACGGGCCGAGTACTAAGGTCTCGGTGGTGGCTGGGGTCTTGAGGTAGGAGGGCTCCTAGTAGCCGACCCCGGGGCAAGCAGGTGGGGGAAAGGAGACCCCAGGGGGGCACCAGCATGGAAGTGGGGACGCGATGCTAGGGAGGGAAGGCAACTAGTAAGGGATCCTTGTGGTTGGGGGGCTGATTGTGTCCCCCAGGAAGAGATGTATTGAGTGACCTTGTTCATAAGGAAGTAAGGCTGGTCTTTGATAGGATAGGAGTCCAACTCCCAGCTGCTTCTGAAAGGTGTCTTATAAGTGGGGAGAACAGATGTGGAGATCAGCCCACGCAGGAACACACACAAACCAAGGAACACACACATACACACACATACTGGGGCCACCAGACGCTGGAAGAGACCAGGAAGGACCTTCCCCAAGAGCCAAATGAGAGCACAGCCCGGCAGGCACCCCGGATCCGGCTTCCTCTCCTACAGAACCACCAGACGCGGACATTTCTGTGTTGAAAGCCCTCCGCTTTTTTATATTCTGCAAGGGCAGCGCTAAGAGACCCGGCCACGTATTAGCAAGTCTGGGTCCAGCCTGGACCCTTTAGGCCCATTCCAGGAGGAGGACCCTGCAGCGGAGAGCGCCCACTGCAGAGTCACCCACCGCAAGTGTGTGGGAGCTGGGGTACTGTCCCCGCGGCCCCCAGCGGGCGCTCTGTCGGGTCTGCGGGCAGGCGCCAGGGGTGTTTCAGACAAGAGTATGGACACTCGTGAGAGCAGGAGGGGTGGTGTCCTGCATAGGAAGAGGCATGGCCTGATTGCTTTGGGGTGACAGTCCTTGCCCGGCTCAGGTACCCCTCTCTCCCAGACGGCACAGTGGTGTCAGAATCCACACACAGGTCGTTAAGCGAGAACCAGATGGCTCCTGGCCTTCCTCACGATGGGTCTGGGGTGGGGCTAGCAGGACTGGGAGCCCCAACACTGGCACCAGCCAGCCGAAACCTAGTGCTGGGCAGGGCACTAGAGGCCCACTGCTGGCCAGGTTGAGAGAAGATTCGGGGCACAAGGAGGCCAGGCAAAAGGCCCAGCCCCAGGCCCTGCACTGACCAGCCGTGTGGACGGCGTCCTCTCTGGCTGCCCACACTCAGGCCACAAGTAGCTGCGGCTCCATTTTCATGTCCACCCTTTCCTCTCAGTTCTGGTGTCTTCTAAGGGCTGCTGTGGCCAAGTGCCACCAAAGGGGTGTTTACAGCAACACAAACTCTCAGCGCTACAGCAGTCAGAAGGCCAAAGGGGGGTGTTGGCAAGGGCCTAGCTCCTTCAAAGGGTCTGTGGGGCGAAGGCTCCTTCCCTGCCCCTGCAAACTCCTGCTGGCCAACTCCGGCCCCCTTGGTGTATGGCCTGGCCTTCCCTTGTGTCTCTGTGTCTCCGGCCCCACCCCCACCCCAGCACACCCTTTCCTTTTTCTGATCAAGACTCCAGTCACCCCAAATCCAGATGATCTCCCCTCAAGACCCCTGACGAAGGATCCCTTCTACAAAGACCTGACTTCCAAATCAGGTCACTGTCCCAAGCTCTGGGGCTGAGGGTGCTGACATAGCTTTTCAGGGCAGGTTACATACAACCCAAGCCGCCCGCCACACGCCCGTCACTTGGTGATCGAAAGAACCCCAGAACTAAATCGGGCCGGGAATGAGGGCTTCTCTGGTCCAATACTGCACGGCCGGCGAAGGGTCGCGTTGGGGGAACGACCATCTGACCCCTCAGGTCAAGGGAACCATTACCTGGGTGGAAAGGCCTAAAGGGGAGGCTGAGCTGAGGAGGAAGAGGTTCTGGGCCTCTGATTGGAGGAAGAGACGAAGGTGCTGCCAGGGGAAGTGGCTCCTGGGGCTCATCTCACCCCCGCCCCCGTGGACCCCTCCGGACAGCAGACAGCCCGACAGAGACATCCTGCCCCTCTCCCAAGCCCCCCAGGAAAGGGAGCCCCCAACAGGACAGGGAGACTGCTGGCTCCTCCCTCCTCCCCCCTGGCTCCTCCTGGCTCCTCCTTTCCTGGGTTTGTGAAGTGTGCTCAATGTGGGATGTCCTAATTATTTCTTTCCCCGATGAAGAAGGTGTTAATTGAGGCAGAGCTATTTCTGCGGCCAGCCTCGTCCCCCGGGCGGAAACGTGGAGGGAGGGAAGCAGGGCAGGGCCCCTCGGAAAAGCCAGCCCTGAGCCCAGAAACTAGGAATCTGGGGGGCGGAGGTCGGTTGGTTTTGATTGTTTTTGTTTCCTGAGCACCCGCACCCCTAGAAGAGGCCACGGACTGGCTTGGGTCCGAGTGGGGTTGGGAGGGGACAGGCGTGGGTGGGGGCCCCCGAAGGGCGGGAGTCTTCACTTTGGGGAGATGACTGCCAAGCTGAGGCCTCAAAATACAGGGCGTGTGAGTAAGAGACAGATATCGACAGACATCCAGGCAGCAGGTTAATTTTAACAGATATTGATAACCAAACTCCACAGACTTTCTGGACCATCGCTTTTCTAGAAGCCACGCCCGGAGCACGGCGTGCGCGCGGGTGAAGGGGGTGGGGGCCGGGGCCCTGCTATCAAGACACACCACGGGTGGGGAGCCAGTCCCTGCCTGCCCCGCAGGGCACTCCCCACACACCGAGAAGCAGAATCGCTTTCCAAGAGCTGCCGGGAGCCTTCGAGGAGACAAGGCCCCTCCTCATTCATCCACAGGCCCTAGCAATGTGGCCTTCAGTGTGATTCGGACCCCCAAATATGAATGCGCGGGCACTCTGTGAGGTTGGGAACCCACCCAGATGTGGACGCCTGGAAGACGGAGACGGTTCGGGAAAGAGGCAGCTGTCCAGGCAGACGGGGTGGGCGCCTTATGGATACCTGTGGAAACTGGCCGTCGGGACACGGGGACTCATGGTCTTCTCTCTGCTCTCATGGTTACCTGAAAAGGGGTTTTGTCCCGTGTTTTTTGTTAAAGAGAGGCGCCCTGGTTACCCGTGTGTCCACGAAGAAATAAGAGACCATAGGTTTGGTTTGTTGAGGGTCTTTATTTCCTCACCCTGCCCTGAGCCTTATGTTTGTCATTTCACCCTCCTACGAGTATTTATTAAAAAAATTGTCGGGGTAGCCAGCACCACCACCCCACCCCACACCCAACCCCTGCCACCTGTAAAGAGGCCTATCCAGCCTCGGAGTCTTGGCCGCCATGTCACTGTCTTGTTCCAGAGCAGTGGGCGTCAGTGTGGAGACGTGGACACCGTGGGGCTGCGCTTCTCACCTCTGTGTCCCTACCACCTGGAAGGTCCAGAAGCATCCTTCCTTCCCGCCACAGCGGGCTCAGCCCAGATGGGACCCCTGCTGCAGAGCTGGTGCCCCATACACTGGGTCCAACGTTAATATTCAAGGACGTTTGCCTGTTGGGGTTTTTTTGCCCGGCCAAGGTCACTGTCCTCTCCGAAAACCTCTGACCGTGGGAACCAAGCCCTTTCCCAGCCGATGCTCCAGTCAAATGCGCGGGACACTCGTGGGCACATCCCTTGCCCTTCTCATCCACACCCGGGAATCCCGGCCCTGACCTTTAGCACCCAGCCCAGCGGCTGCCTCCCCAGGAAGCTTCCCGGTTCCCAGTGAAAAGGGCGCCCATTGGCATGCTCCCCCCTCCCGGTGGCATTTCCACAATCTGCCTCCAGCTATTCGGGGAGAAAACGTAGCGCCTGTGCCGAAGGGTAGGCACTGTGTGTACTGGTCTCCCTCGCCCCCAGAACAGCTCCCTAAGCCTAGTGCATCTCAAGCAAAAGAAACTCCAAGGAGCTATGGAAGGAAAACAGAACATGATGGACAAGCTCGTTCTAGGGGACAGCTAGGGGATTCTATGCCCAACAGCCACACACACACACACACACACCCAAGGCTTTGTAGACCACGAGCAGATCTCAGCAGAGGTCAAAGGGCTGGAATGACAACTGCACCGCAGTGAGCCTGCGAGATCAGTAACAGCAACAACAAGAGAACTCTCACAACGTTTGGAACATCAAGGAGAGGCTTTTTATCGGGGGATAAAATAATACGATGCCTAAGCTTTGCTGGAAAGTTTTCTAGGGTTAAGACAACATGAAGGGGGAAGGGGGTAGAGATTTAAAAAAAAAAAAGATTGGCCCAGGATGAACAACTATTGACATTGGTCATAGAGATGTGGGGGATCTCCCCATTTTTGTGTATGTCTGAGGATTTTTTTGAGAACACTTCTTGATTACTCGTGGGTCAAAAAAGAAAGGATCATTGGAAGGACGCTACCTCTCGAGAAAGAAATTGAAATATATTTTAAGGGGACAAGAGTGATGACAATACCTATCAAACCTTTGTGAGACACAGCCAAATCCTCCTTCCAAGAGGATTCATAGCCTTAAATGAAGGTTCCCCAACTCAGAGACGTGGGAGAAAAGTATATCCGACCAGAAAAAATGAGAATAATAGTGAAGGTTAGAGAAGAAGCCAATGGGATAAATAATAATTATAATAATAAATCAGCCCGACCAAAGCTGGTTTCTTAGAAACACTGATGAATTCATCCCAACAGTCATTTTTCTAACAGCACTGAATAGACACTGGCCACTGTTTCTCAGAGCTGGTTCTCCCCGCCCCCACCCTCCCTGACTCTCGCCCCCTTTCCCTTTCATAGATGACATTCAGGGTGAGTCTCCGGCTCCATGCGGGACAGTGGAACCCGCCCGCACCTGCCCCAATGGGACCAAATGTCAGCCCTACTGGGAAGGGCCCAACAACGGGATCACTCAGTTCGACAACATCCTGTTTGCAGTGCTGACCGTCTTCCAGTGCATCACCATGGAAGGGTGGACGGATCTCCTGTACAATGTAAGTGTGCTGGCGCTCAGCCAGCTTCTGGCCAGGGCCGGTGACCTCCAGACCAGGGATGTCCCCAACCCAGGGGCAGCCTCAACACATCCCTAGGAGCGCTTCCTCAGAGACCACCAGGCACCCATAGCAGGGCTCTCCCCAGCAAAGGCCCTCAAACATAGAAATCCAGCGGGCGCACCCGGCCGAATACTTTTTCATTGTCCAAGACTTTGGCTTTTAAAAAGCAATCTTCCATTGTGGTTTTTGGTCAACGTCTACCCAGTCGTTTAGGCCCTGGGTCAGTAATGTCTCCACAGATTGATGTGCGTCCGGTCATCCTTCATCCCTCACGAGGCCTGGGCATTCTCGTGATTCCCGGGGTTATTCCCGGGGTGGTTCTGTTTCCAGTCGTCCCATTTTTCTGAGCCGATCTGTCACTGGGCTACAAGGTGACCTACCGGGGCTGGTATCCATTCAAAGTCTCAAGGGTGCCTCTGGGATTCAATACTCTCCGGGCTAAATCCATGGGTGGTTGTTTCTTTCTTTTTAAGGAATGTGAGGTCCTCCTGTCCTGGCCTGCCAGGGTCCGTCTATATGGTCCTGATTAGGACCGTTGATTGTGATGGCCGGGCACCATCTAGCTCTTCTGGTCTCCGGGCAGATGATGCTATGCTTCCCGGTAAAGAATATTTACCTTGCAGGCTGGGTTTTCCCTTCTCGTGCACTCTTCCCAGGTAGAGACCAATCCTCCTATCACAGGTGGTCCCTCACCAGCTTTTAAGACCTCAGACACTGCTGGTCAAACGAAGCACATTCTGGCCTGTGTCAGGGGACTTGACCAAGATAGTCCTCATCCTCCAAACCCAGAAAACCAATCCCTCGAGGTGCTTGGTGAGGTCATTTGCATACTTTTTTAAAAGGTAACGTTAACATGCTTGAGTACATCATACACTGTACTACTGAAAAAGCAATGTGGATGAAAGATAGAGCCACGCCCCTTCCTGCGGGGTTTGTGATTTTTGAGTCTTTGTTTTTCAAAGTTGGGGCCCAGGGGACGTGTCTACCAGGAGCTTGTGTCTTCCTCCCTTTCTCGGACATTCTCCCGGTGATCCAGAGTCTCGGAACTTTCAGGAGGGCCTCTTGTGCTTCTATTCTCCAACCACCCTGCCTGCGCCCCAGGAGTACGCACGGGGCGGCTACTGGCACCCACGTAGTTGGGGCTTGGACATACCAACGGGAGAGTCCTCGAGTGTACAGGACAGAGCTGTCGGTGGGAAGGAAAGGGGCGAGGCCGCCATCCAGGAGCTGGGCCTGTCCTCCCACGTCATAATTTCATACAGAAGTCAGACTCAAATGTCCACCCCCGCGAGGTCAAAGCCTAACTCCAAACCCACACCATTGAATTGATTCTGGCTCACAACGACCCGGTGTAGCGTTTCCGAGGCAGCGAATCTTTGCAGGAACGGATGGCCTCGCCTGTCTCCCGAAGAGTGGCTGGCGGGCTTGAGCAACTGACCTATCTGTTAGCCGCCGACTCTTATCCGATGGCGCCAACTCCGACACAGAATGTCTGGGTCTCCAGATCCAGACTCTTGTCCTAGGTCCTGAAACTGTTAGGGCTGCTCTGAAAAGATGTCCACCTTCTCCCCACCTACCACCCCCAACCACCTTAGTCCTTCTAATACATACTTTTGTGCATCCAAGCACCCCGAACCCACATAGTCCCCTCGTTCTTACACTGCCAGAGCGTTCTGTGGCCACAGGAGCAGGTCCTCCGGCTTCGGCACAACCGCTCAGTGGCTGCTCCCGGCCTCTGTCACCAGACCCCTGGGAGGGATGGTGGGATGCAGCCCCACGCTCTGACTCTGCCCATGTGCTGCCAGGAGCAATCGTGAGCGCTGTTTTCAGGCCTGTGCCCACATAGCTGGGTGGTGATGTGGGGGTTGCCCATTCGAAGAAGTGAGATTACCAGGTCAGAGATCCAGTGTGTTTATCATTTGAATAAATATTTAGTTGCTTACGTTTTAAAGCTCCCTCCGCCCTCAAACACCCCCCCCACTTCTACCATCACCACCCACCTGTGCAGGTGACACCCCTAAGCCATCACTCAGCCATCTGTCAGCACAGAAGATGGGGCAAGTCAGTACAAAGACGCCACAGACCCAAGAGCTTCCGGGGCTGCTCCGCACCCACCTGTGGGCGGGTGGCGGGCTCCTCTCCCCTCTCCCTGACGGCTGAAATGGCCAGGGTGTGCCTGATGGGAGCATGCCAGAACGCCCATCCTCTGGAGGGACAGTGACAAGAAACCAGTGGTTCAAAGCCACCAGGTGCCCTGAGGGGGGAAATTGAGGCTGTCGGCCCCTGTAAAGAGGTACAGCCCTCGGAAAGTCGCTGAGTTGGAGCAGACACGGTGACAGCGGTTCTGGGCTGCTATCGTTTTGCCCAGGGACGCATTTGGGGGCATTCAGAGTACAGCCTAGGCATGGGGGCAAGCAGGACCGCCACGCACAGCCATGTGGGTCTCACACTAGACAAGTTAGCCCATCTCGGGAAGGAGCCACCCGCCGGGTGCTGATGGCACACCTACTGGACTTGTCTGAGCACAGGCACCCTGCAACCTGCATGGAACTCAGTGATGCCAGGGCTCTTGGGTGGCCTTGCCTGCAAACAGCTTGGGCAGAAGGCTGCACCCCGTTGGCAAAGCCTGCTGGGAGTTCTGAGTTGCTGCTTTATAAGGTGGGTGGGAGAGGCAGCTTCGCAGAATGGAACCCTCTGGGAGAGAAGTAGTGCTGGGAGCTGGGGAAGGGGAGGAAGTGCCGGTGCGGAGAGAGCAATCCATGGCAAACAACAGTCACCTCCTAGAGTCCAGAGGGAGGCCCAGAGGCTCCCAGTATGACGCCGAGGGGGTGCCCAGTGGTGGAGGAGGAAGTGTGAGCAGGACTGTGCATTTCTAGAAGGTTCTATGGAATCGGCAGCGTGGGCCCAGCAGATGTTTGTCCTGGAAGCAGCTGAACTTGGATCTGAGTCACCTTGGAGGGGGTGGGGGGGGTGGGGGTGGAAGCAAGCTCAGACTGGGCTGTGGCCCTGCCTGGGTTTGAGCCTAGCTCTGCCACTCCCTTGCTGTGCTGTGTGTCCTTTGGCAGTTGGCTTGGCCTTTCTGTGCCTCCATTTCCACATCTACAAAACACAGGGGGCTGCACAGTCCCAGCTCCTGGGGCACGAGAGACATTAGAAGCGCTGTGACTGGTGACTGTTGCTGGGCCTGTGCTGTATGCACAGGGTCCCCCGGCCCCACCGGGCCCGCTTTTAGAAACGTGCATTGACTGTTTCATTGTCAAAGCCCCTGGCAGCGCCTGAGGAAGCAAGCTGACTGCTGACCATTTGGAATAACCAATAACCAGCACTTTCGATACACTTAGACCCCAGCCTCTTCCTCTTGGGGAGCCTGTGCCTGTGGACCTGGCCCCAGTGTGAGCCTAGAACACTGGGTGCCAGCCAGGATGCGTGCCCCTGCCTGGTCACTACTGGAGTAAGGGTGCTCGTGGCACCTGGTGGGGAGAGCCTGAGGTGCACGGGACAGCCCTCGCCCCAAGGATATTCCAGCTGAGCTGTCAGCAGTATTGAGGCTGAGGACCCTGGCCAAGGTACCTGCGAGTGGGGTTTCCTACGCTGGATGGGCAGAGTCCACGGCAAGTGTGACCCAGAAAACCAAACCTGATTCAGACTGATCACCACCCCTTAGGAGAGAGTAAACCAGCCCCCTAGGGCGTCCTAAGCCGTGGTCTTTGTGGAAGCACACCACCACACCATGTCTTTCTCCTGCCAAGTGGCTGGTGGGTTTGAACCCTAGACCTTCCCAATCTGGGCTGAGCATTCAGCTGTTGTGCTACCGGGGTCCTTGGATGGTGTGGCCAGAGCTGCTGGATGCTGGGGCACAGTCTGCCTCAATGCCCGCTGGGGTGGACGCCACCTGTGCCCCGTCCCACCCGGTCCCATGGGAGCACTGCAGGCTCCCTGCCCTTCTCTGCCCAAGAGCTCTGAGACGGCTGGGGGACTGGGTCTGCATTTGATGCCACTCGCCCTGCTCCCATGCCCAGCAGCCCCACCCAAGAGCCAGTGGGAGCCGGTGCCACCAGCACGCCCCATCAGGTGTATGTTCTAATGCCGCTGTCACCCAGAGCTCCCGAAGGACTGAGCCCCAGGTGGCCTGTTCAGTGATGCCCCCTTTCCTGTGTGATCCTTCCAGGGATCGCCTCCCTAAGGAACAGCATGCACCTGAGCCCAGGTCTGGGCCTTCTATCGCACGCAGAGGCTCAGGGACCACCAGGGTGAGGGGCTGAAGTGGCAGCTTTGAGTTTCTGCTGCGAGGCCCTTGTGAGAACAGGACAGTGGCTTTTCCAGGTGGGCCTTACCCTGATGCTCAGTCATCTGCCAGCCCAGCCGGGTCCCAGGATGCCCCTCACGCTAACCAGCCACCAGCAGGCAAAGAATGGGGATCCTGGCTTTGTCCTCTGTTGCTGCCGAGGCTGCAAAGGTGGGGCCTTGCCAGCTGTCACTGCCCCTGTCCCTGCACCAGGCGATGGCTTCCGGGTTGGACAAGGGCCTCGGACACTCTGAGCGCCTGGGGTGGGGTGGGGGGCACACAGCTGCCAAGTGGAGGCCCTTCGTGGTGGAGGCAGACCTTTAAGACACCAGCACCTCATAGACATGAGGTCTATTCTTAAAATCCATTCGTTTGTTGTGTGCCAGGCAATGGTCAGGCGCTGGTCCGAGAAGGGAAGAGGACACAATTCCCCTCCCCACGACCTACTAGGACAGGCAATAAGCATGACAAATACCAACCCACACAGTAAGCAGGAAGTCGCCACTCATTGGCAGGGCGGACTGTGGGAGATCAGTGAAAAAAGCCTCACCTTGCGGGCTAGAGAACCACGAAGCCCGGGTGGCACAAGGGTCACTTGTTGGGCTGCTAACTGTAAGGTCTGCAGTTTGAAACCACCAACGGCACTGCAGGAAAG